ATTTTTTATTGTTTTCGTCAATTCATATCACCCGACCATGCATTTAAAAAACAAAGAGACAAGTTTTATGAAGGTAGAGTTGAGAAGAATATGGCACAACATAGGCTAACTGATGAAGAGTTGTGAAGCATAGTGGAGAACCTCCCATGCATTGCAAGTGGCAGAGCTGATAAGAGAATAAATAGAAGGTTTTAGTCATAGCCATAATTGGATGAACAGAAGCATTTTCTGGGAGTTACCTTATTGGGATAAAAATCTCATAAGGCACAATTTAGATGTGATGCACATTGAAAAGAATGTATTCGAAAATATATTCAAAACAACTATGGATATAAAAAGGAAAAACTAAAGATAATTTCAAGGCTAAGAATGATTTGGAACTTTATTGCAATTGTCCAGAGCTTCATATATATGAAGATGAAAGAGGAAAACTATTCATGCCAAAGGCCTCCTACAACGTAACTAATGTACAAAAGGGAAAAGTATGAAATTGGATTAAAAATTTAAGAATGCCTGACAATTATGCATCAAACATTTCACGGTGTGTTAAGGGTGATTGTGAGTTCTATGGAATGAAGAGCCATGATTGTCATATTTTTATGTAAAGATTGCTGCCAATTGCATTTAAAGATTTGTTGCCCAAACTAATTTGGGAAGCTTTAACTGAACTTAGCCCTTTTTTACAGATATATGCTCTACTGTTTTAAAGGTGAAATATATGGAGCAATTGAAGCAAAACATTGTTGTGACATTATGCAAGTTTGAAAAGATTTTTTCACTGAGATTTTTTGATTCAATAGAACATTTACCTATTCATTTAGCATATAAAGTGAAGGTTGGAGGTCCCGTACAATATCGTTGGATGTATCCTTTTAAGAGGTAGCACATGCTTCAATATTTAATTTACAGTGTATAGTCTGAATGATATTGATTTGTGTATCACAAGTTCCTACACTACTTAAAAAAGAAAGTAAAAAATTGAGCTCATGTTGAGGCATCTATTGTGGAGGCATACTTAGTAGAGGAAACGTCAAAATTTTGCTCTATGTATTTTGATCAAAATATTCAAACAAGATTGAATCGTGTATTGAGGATTGATGATGGAGGTCTTATCGATCCCCAAGGAAGACTATCAATTTTTACTCACCCTGGACGACCTCTTGGCACTCAACATCATAATAGAAGATTAATGACAAATGAGGAATTCAGAGCAGTGACAACGTATGTGCTCTTCAATTGTGAGGAAGTAACCCCTTTTTTATGGCGTAAGTTGTTATAATTACATTTGTAACATATATATTCAATTGCATGCTTGCTTAGCTACGTTTACAATTTGTCATGGCACGTGTAGGGTGCTTGATAAATATATGAGAATGTTACATCCCCAAATGTCTGATGCATAATTTGATGGTTTACGAGAAGAACTTTTTCGTGTTGGTTAAAGGAATATTTAAGTGATTTTGTAAGTAATGTCTCAGTTAACCCAAAAAAGTATTTTGTAAAATGAGTTCTAATGCATATTGTTTCTTTTTGTTCAGGTTTTGGACGATCATAATAAATTTGATAATTGCATAAAGGCTTTGGCTAATGGATCCCTCTTGTAGAGTGAATTGTTGTAATGGATATTTTGTCAATGGTTTTAAGTTTCACACTTTAGGTTATGGTTCCGACAAAAGAACAATGAATAGTGGTGTGTCAGTACTAGGAAGTTGTCATAATGACTATGAGCGTGACTACTATGGTATGTTAACTGAAATATTGGAATTGGATTATTTAGGAGATGTTGGAAACAAGGTAACCTTTTTTAAGTGTGACTGGTTTGACATCAATGGTGGAGTTAGAGTCCATCGACGATTCGATCTTGTCGAGCTTAATCATAAGAAGACATTACAAACAAATGATGTGTTTATACTTGTTAAACAAGCTCAACAAATATATTACACATGTTTCCCAACGAAGGCTAGAGATAGACTTGATTGGTGGGCAGTTGTGAAAACAAAAGCAAGAGATGTCCCCAACATACAAGGAATCATATCTGAGAATGAAAAGTGTAATGCGTGGGTGGAACTTGCATTCTAAGAGGATCAATTACCATCGACCCTGAAACTTGTTCGAATAAATTCAGAATTTGATAGCCAAAATTTAGTTCGTACTGATATTGAGGCTGAAGGAGTGGGTGTGGCTGAATCTAGGATCTTTGATGTAGATTCTGAAAGGCATGATGTAGAAGAAAATACACAATTTGAGGACAATGAAGTATGCATGGTTTCACAACAAGTGCAAGTGAAGGAGAAAATTGTACTATTATTATTCTTGTCATTTTTAGCTCCTTTTTTTAGTTTATTGTTCTAGCCATTTTTAGTTCCTCTTTTTTTAGTTTATTGTTCCTGTCATTGTTCATATTTTTTGTTGGCTGAATGCGGGAAATATTTGACGTGTTTATGGAAAATGGAATAATGGCTAGGCCAGACAAGAAGCTAGGTGATGTTTTGGTTCAAGAGACAAGATAGTAGTGTATGCCAACTTAATTTCTGTGAATGTGCCCAATCTTCATTTGAAAGGTGGGGTTTCTTTTATCTATGTTTGAAAAATTTAGTTATATAGTAAAATCATGTTTTTAGTAACTATAATTGGCAAATTGAGTAATTTTCATAAATGATGAATTAGGAACTTGGAATTGGAGATATTACAACAGTTGGAGCCATCTCAGTAGCCAACATAATCTCCTAACCAAAACCCGAGTGTTACCACTTGTAATATGTTGGATGAAGATTGAATGTTTGTATTTTTTGTGTCCTTTCAATGTAAAAGTACTAAGTGCTGCCCTGAACTCATGTTGGACACAATGTGTTCGATTGGACGCCCCATATTGTATTGGACAATCTTGTGTTGGACGCCTCTTTGAAGTTTAAGTTTTATTTCTTTAGTACTATTTCTATGTTATTGATTTTTCGTGTTCCTTTCTTAGACAATGAATTTATCGATGTTGCAATTAGCATTGATCCAGAATGGAAAATGGTAGAGGACTATTGATCTTGTTTCTTTTTCACCTACCAGTACTAGCTTTAGCCATTTGCGACTATATTTATTTGTACATTTAAGAAATACTATCCTTCCTATACTTTTTTCTTTCTCAGAATATTAAGAAGATGCGCTGCTAATACTTGCAAGAGATAAATTTAAAGGTCATATTTGTCATTGCTTCCAATACTTGCTGATAAATGTGTGCATCTTGACAATCTGTCTGCCCTGGGAATACTCCAACAACAAAAGAGGGGCACTGCTCCATTTTTTATTGAATTCTCAAACATATATCATAATACTATTATTTGAAAGGTATGTTTATTGATTACCAGCTAGAGGGTATTTGTGATAGTTCTTGGCATTGACTTCATAGCAAAGAAGTTGTAGATTCTAATTGTTTGAAGTTGCATACCTGGGTGATTTTAACCAGTGAAATGGCAACATCAACATCAAAACCTTGGAGCAGCTTGTATTGGCTGGAATCCACCTTGTAGAGTTGTCCATATTGATTAGATAGTAATGGCCATTTGTCATAAATACTCAATGAGCATTGAAATGGCCAAATCCTAAAATCTAAACACCTCGTGGCCTGGATTTGTTCTTCGATGGCTTGAGGATGGCTCCTTGCCTATGCTACTGGAACAACTTTTGCAAAGTTTCCTTCGTTGATTGGTTTTTCAAGAGAAAAACAAATTAACTTGCTAGGTTCATTGTAAATGACCAAGTTTATAACACATTTCCCAACTAACATTTAATGCAGCCTCTAGTATATCGTCGTTGAATTCCTTGTAGAATGATGGTACATTTTCCCCACCAGCTTCACTTTATTCCTGCAAGCAATCAAGATTTAAGATAGTCCCTTGAAAGGATCAGGCACACTCGAATAAAAAATATGTCTATTTGTTCATTGTCGACTTTGCCTATCTCATCCAATTGTTTGAATACTTCTTCCAATTAGTTGATTGCAACCCGAATGATACTCGAGTGCCCCAAATGAATATATAATTAAGCTCATCATCACCTTATCCATTTTTGGAGAATTTTAGGTCGATTTCGATTGCAACACGTTTTTTGGTTTTGAATAAATAATTTTGTAATACAATTTATGGCTTTTAATCTTCGTCATTATTTAAATAATTGAATGTTCTCATGTATTCATTCGTAAAAACAACTCCCATTCTAAAAATGTAATTTGGCGTGCAATTACAACTTAGGGATAGTCGAACTTCAGCCAAATATTCCCTTGAGCCTTGAAGATTTGGGAATTTTCCTTCAACAAAATGTTTCATCGAGGCTTCAAGAGTTGGGAATTGGCATTTTTCTCGAATTCTTTTTCGCTTTCCCCTTATCATTCTCAATTTATAATGCCTTTATTCGAAGCAAGTTTCAAAAGTTTACGATTTTGGTGTAGGACATATTGGGAAAACAAAAGTACTAGTAGAAATAAAGCATCTTAACTCCGATTTGGGCCCATAATACCATTTTGGAAAGAGGATGACGAGATGAACATGGCGAGAAATTTCGTTTGTTTTGTGGTTTTTTCCATTTGAGTTCGTTTAGAACACAAAAACTGATTCCAAAGTTTTGGCACTATTTTTGTAATTTCGTTTATTTTGGGGAGGTTTTTGCAATTTACTTTGAATTATTAATATGAAAATTAAAAAAATTAGTTGGTTTCATATTATTTGATTATCTTTGTATGTATTTATTGCATCCGGTTCGATTCGATTCGAATACAGTTAAATCGTTTGACTGTTGATCCTTCATTTTTTCCGAGTCAATGATTGGGTCGGTTTTCATAACGTTGACCGTAACCATCAATAAATACATTTTTCTATGCAGTGAATAATTTCTTTTTAAACTAAATTTTATTTGGCTTAATATTTTATTTTATTGAAAAAAATTGACGTACAAAATATCATTTATAGACTATAATTCCAAAGTTCTCTATCTAATTCAACTAATCCATCCAAAAAGTTCAACCCTTCCCTCTAATTTTTCTTTACACTCGTTTCCCCACTTTCCCTCCATATATCCCATTCCTCCCTCATCCCCCCCTCATATTCCCTCTTATTTTCCCTCCATATATCCCATTCTTCAGTCGTCCACTTTTCTACCATTTAACATGGGTCCGATTTTCACAGATGAGGATGACTAGTATAGTACGATTGAGTTCCATGCCTAGGGTTTCTATAGTACAAGATGAGGAAGATAGTGACGAGAATGAGAATGCATCTGAGGATACAATGGGTCTCTTTCTGCAGATGATAATGATGTTGCCGATTGTAGGAAAGGGGGTCCTAACCACGGTACTACTGGTTGTGCAGATGAATCGGGAAGAATTCCTTTAACTGTGAGAGGCAATACGTATTTATCTGAACTTTTTTCTTGGGGGGTTTAAGTTAATAGAATAGGGTATTTTTGTCTATGTTATATTTTGGGGATTTCAGTTTGAAAGCTTGAGAGTTTAGATGGTGTTTTCTTTTTTCCCAGTCTGATATGGTTCGAATGATTTTATGTTTGCAGATTTATTACTATCTCGGCATCATGTGCTGTAAGTGCTAATTTGAAGGCTTACTTGGGAGGACCTTATCCAACGTTTAGTTTGGTGCTGGTTGACATAAAAAAGTTCTTGTTGGAAAGATTCCAGGTAATATAAGTTTCTTCTAAATATACTGATTGCTATTATAAGATTTCATTGTTTTTTTCCGTACTAATAGTAGGTACCTACATTAGCAACGACACTCATGGCCAAAAAATAAAGATAATGAGGTGAAGGTGGCATGGAATACTGCCTCAACCGATCGACTGCGAGATATATTTTGTTTGGCTCGAAAGAAGGCAGTGGAAAATAGTAAGTCTGAAAATATAATTGATTGGAAGGGATATGGACCATCATGGTTAAGTGTAGAGCACTGGAATGACATAATTGAGAAAAAGTGGAACAATGAAATATGGAAGAAAAGTCTAAACTTGGCATTGATAACTGGCTGACTATAAAGTCAGGAACCGTCACTAAGCACACTGCTGGTTCGATAACGAATGTTGTCCCACAAGCAGAGGCTGGTAATGTTTAACTTGCATGATCAAATTTCATAGACGATTCACATGTTATATATGAGCATCTTATTCTACATATCAAAATTTCATTCTTAGAAGAGCATTTTGTATCCATTTTATGGAAGATGTGGAAAAATTCAGCATGCTCTGTCTGAATTTCATTTGGTAAAAATTAGCATGTTTTGTCTTCATTTTCAGCTTGTTCTGGCTGGAATCAATATGGGAAAGTCTTTATATTCAGCATGTTGTGTCTGCAATTAAGTTGAAAATAAACCAACCAGCAAGTCTACCATTATATTCAACATGTTATGTTTGCAATTAAGTTGAAAATTAACGTGCTATTTGATTCCTAATCAAGAATACTTCAAACTAAACTCTTCATTTATTGATTGTTTTCAGCATGAGAAATTAGGTAAGCCACCTACTGCTTCATGGTTATTCGAACGTGTACATCTTAGAAACAATGGAGAGGGAGACTTCGTAGACAACAAGTCATGAATTGTATGGGTAAGTAGAAATAAATTCAGTTTTGATTGGACTTTCATTGTTATTAGTTAGATGGTCATAGACACTAATTGTAGTTTTCAGATTGTTTTGTAAATAAATCATTACTTGTTGGCAACCTACAAGTTGATGAATATGCTAGAAGTAGTATAAATAGATGAGCTATTAGATTTTATATGCTCGTAGAAGTTTAATGTATATGTTTGACAGTGATTTGATATCTTGATTATAGGACTTTTTCCATGATTAACAGTATTAGAGTTATCTTTAAATTGGGATAGAAGTAACACTTGTGCAACTTATAGAGTGAAACATATACTTGTGTAAGCGTCCTTAGGAAAAAAATTTCCCCATAACATATTTCTTTGTGAATTGATGAGTGCTTAGACAGGGAACTTTTCTTCCACTAGTGGTCCCACCAACAATAGCTCAAGCAGGTTTATGGTCAACTTTGTTGGCTGTGCTCTGTTTTGTAAAGGTATTGATCAATATATGCTACCAAGCAGTAGATATCAATACAGATGCACATGAGAGCTTAATTAATTAAGCGACTTGAACGTTTAAACACTTCTCCTTTTGTATCTCCCTGGACATACTATCGTGTATATTCTGCATTGTTGTTTGTTTTCCCTGTTGATTTGCTCTGGTATTTTCTGATTGGTAATGCACAAAACATGGAAATTATGGTTTTAGCTTGAATGACCCTTCAATTTTTATGGTTTTGGCTTGTCTATATTCTGGCCGTTGGCAAAGACAGCAACATTTTTATGGTTTTGGCTTTTCCTTTTATGAACTGCTTCTTATTTTACAAGAAAAATATGACATTGCAATTCATGAAAAATATGGTTCAAATGTGTCACAACCTGAAATTGACATTGAAGCATGGTGTGAAGCAACGCTAGGTCCATGCAAAGGTGGTCGCCTGTATGGGCTTGGTATTCAATGAAAATCTTTGCACGAAGATGTCACCTCCTCTGGTTCACCTAACATTCCATATAATGGACACATTAATTTCATCACTTTACAAGAGGAATTTCATTTTGCTTGTGAGAAGATAGATCAATTTATAAGGAAAAATGTAGGATTACTTCAAAAAATGGAAGATGATAAGCGCGAAGAAGAGAAGAAGCGCAATGAATTTGAACAAACCATGCTTCGAATGTTGGAAGAAAGGAATGGATCACGAGATTAGTCGTTTAAGCACAAGGATTTTCAATGGTTGCTCATAGTAGATGTTTATTTTGTTTACAAAAATTTACAATTGAATGTGTGTAGAACTTCCTTTTGCTAATTGATCATGTGCAGAATTTTAGTATTGACTTTTGAAATGGAAGCAAAATTGATCTAATTTTGTGTAACTTTGAACATTGAATTAATTGAATGAAAATATTTGTATTTCATATTTGTTTATTTATGGTTTTATTTTATATATTTTTTCTTTTTAATATATTAATATAATATTTGATGAAAAAAAGGAAGATTCTTAGCTATTTTAGGAACAATTAGTTCCGTAGGAGAAATACGTTGGTAGTTGGCGACAGAAACAAAAACGGAAGATTCGTAGCTATTTTAGGAACAATTAGTTCCTTAGGAGATAGCTATTTTAGGAACAATTAGTTCCTTGGGAGAAATACATTGGTAGTCGACGACGGAAACATAAACAGAAGATTCGTAGCTATTATAGGACCAATTAGTTTTGTAGGAAATATGTTGGTAGTTAGCGACGAAAACGAGAATGAATGATCCGTAGCTATTTTAGGAACAATTAATCGAACTATCGTTAATCACAAACAGATCAGTAACGAAAATTTCATCGTCAATTAGCTACGATCGAATTTCGTATGTAGACAGTGACACCCTTTTTCCGTCGCTATTACCGACGGCATACATAGTCCGTCGGTGAATTTACCGACGAGGTGTTTGCCGAAACGGATTTTGGGGCTTATGCGGCAAATATTTCCGTCTCTAAAGCCGCTATTTTTAGTAGTGTGTTGATATACATATACTTGATAAGAATAGAAATTGTATTCGATTATCTAATTAATTTAGCTCATAATTAATATTTGATTAGCATGCATAAAACACTAGTCAGTCAATTATATTAGGAGACTTTTATGTTTATCCATACACATTTTTTACTATATAAGACACGATATTGGAGAAATAAATAACATCAAAATTTTTTCCAATAAAATATTCTCCACAGTAAATTGCCTCTATCTCTTTATGTCCTTTTATTGAATGGAACATTAGTTTTGCAAAGAAAATGGCATAGTTTATAAAGTCTTTAGATTGCCATAAAGAATCTTGATTTCTATAATTTTGTTCTTCAAATTCAGATTTAAAAGATGAGGTGCTCAGTGCTATTAATGATATTTTTCACATATTTTCAAATTCGTTATTATGTATGAATTAATTATGTTCAGTATAAGGGCTCTTTCGGGAGAAATCGTGATAGAGTTTAAGGCATACCTTCTATTGTTACTTAACATTTGTATTTTTTTGGAGTACTTGCTAGAATTATCATTTTTCGTGATATAATAATTTTATTTTGCCCCATTTTGGCCCCCATTTTTTTCCAAATTTTATATATATATAATGTGTAGTTGAAAGAGAATGAAAAGTTTTCAATTTACATGTAATATTATTTTATAGAAGATTGTGTGGTTAAAAATAAAAGATAAGAAAAAAATTAAAGAGAATGGGAGTCAAACTGGGGCTTTATGTTGGTGAGAGAGTTTATGCATAATTTTATATTTGACTTAAATGTGGAGTTGCAAGCATCTCATTGAATACAATTCATTATATACATACATTTTTATTTACAATTTCAGGTGAAAAATAACAGACTAGACGACTGCAAATGGATAGATCCTCGCCACGAAATACCTTATTTGTTGAATTTAATAAGTTTTGAAGTAACATTATAATTTTTAATTAGTCCTAGTTTTATTGCACGTTAGAACTAGCTTTTATGAATGTTTTGATGAAAGACATGATTTCAAAACGTTGCGCATATTTTATTAAATTAAATTTATTTTTTGTTAAATGTTGTTCAATTTTTATTGAATACGTCATTATATTCATCTTTGTAACACTCAGGGTTGCTAGAATTTATGGTGTTACAAAGGCCCTGTTTGGGATCGATTCAAATGAGATTTTGGGGGGAAAATTTTTGGATTAGGGCATTTCTAATGGATGCACCGAATCACCAAAAATTTTGGTGTAAAACCTCTCCAATGTTGCACCAAAGTTTGCAACATTTTGGTACAAAATGGTGGAAAGTCAAATTAACCATTTTCTTCTATTTGCCAAACAAATTGATAAAGGATATTTGTCTAATTTAATTTTAATACAATAAATTTTTATAATAATATTAATAAATTTTAACCATGTAAAAAATAAATTTTTATATTTATTAATGAATTTAATATTTTTTGTTAATTAACGTAATTATTTATTCAGTAATTTATATATTTGTAAAATAAATAAAGACATAAATTTTCAAATAGATAAATTATTTTGAATAAAAAAAGAGAAGAAAATGATTAAATACTATTCATTTGGCCCTTTGGTGTGATGTGTGGAGATTATTTTTAGTTTGGTACAAGATTTGGCGTAAAACGGTGCAAAACTTACATCAAATTTTGATGCAGGGTTGGAGATGGTTTTAGTGATTTTTTGGATAATGTGGTTAAAAATTAAGCCCTGTTTGATGGCTATTATTTGGAAAAAAATAATATTTCAAATAAAGAATTTTTTTTAGAGAATGGATGATTAAAAAGTATGGAAATTTTTTTGATTTTACGTGTAGAATTTTTTATTAGGCAAATATGTGATTGAAAATGAGTATGTAAAAAAAATTAAAAAAAAATTGAAAAAAAGTCCATCAAATAGGAGCTAATAAAAAGTTTTGAATTTACGTATAATATTATGTTATGCCCCCCACCCCCCTTTGGCAACCCATTTTTCCAAATTATAATGGGTAGAATATTATTTTTTTGGAGAATGGATGGCTGAAGAAGAAGGAAAAATATTCGATTTATGTGTAATATTATTTTATGAAAAATTATATGATTGAAAATTAGAGAAAAAAATAAAAGTTAATTTAAAGGAGACAATGGTTTAATCCCCTAAATGGTCACTAAACTTTGCCGAAAGTCCCCAAAGGGTCATTGAACTTCAAAAATCCCCTGGTTAGTCACTCAACTTTGCCAAATGGGATCCCATCCATCACCAACCTGACTCCGTTAGTAATATTTGACAATTTGGTCCACTTGTCTGACAAAAGAGGTGATGTGGCATGGTTTTAAAGCTAGGAAAAAAATTCTTGAAAGAGAAAACCACGTAAAAGGCTAGGAAAAATCATTTTAAACACCCAAACCCTTATTTTCCCCCAAATTTAGATTCTCCAAAATCTCTCTATGGCAAAGTTTAGTGACCATTTAGGGGATTAACCCTTTGGGGGCTTTAAAAGGTTGTGTGGTTGAAAATGAGTTTTGAAAAAATATATTTTCGAAAAAAGGGGCATAAATGGTAGCAAAATAACATCTTTCAAATAATTAAAAATTATATTGATCTGAAATGTCACTCTAACACTTGGATTGAAAGCATCTAAACATAAATGTTACAATACTACTATATTTGTTTTAATACAAGCTTAACCAATAAATTAATACAAATTTAACCATAAAATTTAAGCTTGCATAAAACAAATATTTTATTTATTTTTAAATGGTTGAATTCCTCGGTTTGTTTTGAAATGGTTTTTGACTATCGAAATCTAAGTATAACCAACTCTAAAGAATTTCGTTCGCTTTTGAAACATTCTAAACTAAACCAAGCCAACAATTTTAAAGCCGTAATTTTGATTCAATTTGACACGTTGCCAATTTTTTGTTCGCACCCACTAAGCAGGCTCATAAAAATGGTTAAACATAGACAACTTGTCCGAGCAAACTCGAGCAAGCCTATTGATTGAAAGAAGAAAAATGTAACAAAAATGAGACCAAAAGTTTGGAATCTTCATTTTTCTTAGCTTGTGGGATGGCGTGCATTGCAGTGTCTCGCCCTGCACGGCCACCAGAAAACAAAGGGCCATACTTGGCCATTCAAATCCCTTGTATAATCTTGCATTCAACATTAACAACGATTTAAATCTCAATCTCAAATTGTTGACACACTAAAAGTGCAGCCCAAATCGAATAGCCCAGGAAATGAAGTCCAATTGAGGAATCCCCAAATCAAATAGCCCAAATAATGAAGTCCAAATGGGCAATTCAAGATAAAGGCCCAGATAGGATTATTAATGAATGTAGTGGAAGCCCACGAATATAGTAACATCATCGCTCAAGCTTGCAGACGCCCAAGATCTGAGCGAATGAAGTGTCTTACAGTTGCCCAGAGCTATGACCCTGTTCTCGCCCAAACCTTCGAATCGCCCAGGATTTTAGCAAACATAAGATATTATGGTTATCCAGAAGTGTAGTTATTGAAGCAGTTATCGAGTAACTTATCACATTCCACGATTGAAGGAGTTCAGTTGAAGACGATTGAACGACAAAGAGTAGTGGTAACAGTTAGAGACGGCAGTTCCACGACAAGTTAGCCACCATAAAGAAAATGGGTAGTTATAAAGCAATCAAGCAGTTTTCAAGCGGTTGATCACGAAGAAATCATCAAGAGAATATAAAAGGAAGAGAAGACATAGAGCAAAAGACCCCGGAATCAAACACTCTCAAATAGAGAATATGTAATTTCAATTTCTTAGTTTAGATTTAAACATTTCTTTTCAGTACTCGTGTGCTTGCGCCCCTTGGAGGCGTTCTGTTTAGTTCCAATTGTAAAGTCATCGCCAATAAAACACCCCTTTTTGGGACTTTATCTCAAGAGGTTTGTTCCATACACAATCGTCTGATCTCTTTTTAATTGTTAGCGACTACCCGCGCGAAATAATTTGGCACGCCCAGTAGGACTTTGGTGTTTGGTGTTGAAGATACAAAATGTGAAACAATATGCCTCAGAAATCTGATAAGGAAGCAAGTCGGGGAGGAGTCCAGTTTGTGATCAAGCGATATGAAGAACAGCATAGCTCTCCACGAATAGATGGATAGAATCAGAGCTATCATAGTCGTTACGAACCAATGACAGAGTTGAGTCTTCGAACTATGCGTGCATTACTTGGAGAACTCACACAGGATGTCGTTGAACAGGTAAATCTACGAAATATTCATAATATGAAAAGACTTACCCAGAATGGGAATGCACATTATGATAACATGGCCAAACAACTGAATACTTTGAATAAAATAATGAATAAGTTAGTAGGCCAAATTTGTCAGTCAGTCGTGCCTCTTGCAAATCACTTCCAAACTAGGACAATTGTGGGACATAGTCCCCC